TCGATACCAACCCAGACAAGCTCTCAGTAAAGAATGACCGGCATTTAGTGCGGTGGGAGTGAGATACTGCTGTAATGAAGATTGCCTCAGGTTAGTGGGATGATTCAATGAGCGACAAGGGCGTTGCAGTGATACCCACAGGGAGTGGTTGAGGTGCCACAGGCTGTTTACGATAAAGTTGATTGATGAACACATGTAGCCAAAAATTATCTAGTAATAAGTATCCTTTCTTTTGTGTGGCCTTTGTAGTACCGAAGAGATATACAAGAGCTTAGCATATAACGCGAGTTGAAGTCACAGACGCTAGATACTCACAGGCATCCACACAAGCGAAGACGTTGAAATCAGACTGTCGCCGTTTGTAACCATCATCCTCTCAGCCGCTCGTCGCGTCTGAGAAAACCAGCATAACCAAGGATTAAACCAACTCGACAAGTTTAGGAACAAATAGGATTATGGAGTTGCATCTAATTGCCTTGGTACTAGGGAGCAAACGTTGGCTTCTCCTCACAGTAAGTAACACTATCTCTTTCGTCCATCCCTCTTCGTCAACACCGTCAATGCACCCAACCATCTTCTGCCTTACATTTACTCTTCTCCGCTTATCTGCTCCTCGGAACCCATGACCCTACCTCCAGCCCAAACGTAATCTGTCTTACCCATCTTCGCCTGACTATTTACTACACGTCGCTCCTGCCACGCCCTTCGCCCATAGCTTTTCACCGCAGAGTAATTACGACTTTCATCGGCGCGGTGGTGTATTCCTTCAGAGAAAGCTCGCCAGGTTAATTGTACGCGGATTTTGAACGACAAATCGCCATGAGTGGGCGTACCAATGTTGATGGATGGATCAGGGGCTCACTCTGGTGACCGGAAGAGGAAGAGAAGACAGAACTTGAGGCTTTTCGATAAATTTACCAAGGTTAGGTAGTTATGCGAGTGTTGAAAGTGGCGATAGTTTGTTTGTAGGAGCGTTTGTGGGTGCGATGAGAGGGGTTCGTGAGCATGGTATCGGTGCGAAACTTTGGAAGAGAAGATACGGGGCCATTCTTGGAGGCGAAGAATCAATCTCAATTGCGGATTGAGTCGTGTTTGATATCTTGAGATATGTGGAGAGTCATAGAATTGATATTTTCATGTAGGGAAGAAGAGAAGAGACTCGATGCGAGACGGCATAGCGAGTATGACGCGAGAACATATGCTATGCTGAGCCATGGCTGTGCTAGAAGGAATGAGACAAGTCTGTCACGAAATGCACGATGGATGAACGCTGTAGTGTTGGTTTGAAAGATTGGTATTCAACCCCGGTACGCTATCTCAGTACCATGTGCTATATGAATACACAAGCAGCAGATCGAACTATACGATAAGAACCCGTCACTAAAGGCCGATTAGACCCTCTCGACTCTCTCCGAAGCACCCTTAGCGTCGTTGTCAACGACAACGCTGTGGTGCCTTGCCGGGTCTTTCTCCTCAATGGCAGCGCCCTCAACAACGTGGTTCTGGCCACCAAAGATGGCGTCCATCTCCTCGAGACTAACCTTCTTAGTCTCGGGAACGAAGAACCAGACAAAAGCTGCAAGCAGAATGTTGATAGCAGCAAACATGTAGAAAGCATAGAAGCCCTCGTTCTTGAGGAAGACGGGGAAGAACTGCTGGACGATGGAGTTGACAACGTTTTGGGTTTGCGAGCACATGCCAACAGCTTGGGCACGGATGTTCATGGAGAAGATCTCCGCGGTGAAGATCCATACCGTTGCGCCCCAAGAAGGCTTGTCTGAAATGGATGTTAGTAGATGTTCTTGTTAAGATGGTAGTGGGAGAGAGGGTGACATACAGAATAGAGCGAACAGGAACATGAGGAATACAATCGCGATACCAACGGGCTCAGTCTTTGCGCCGCTGGGAAGCGTAGGTGTCTGAGTCTCCACAGTAGCGGCGATAAGCATACAAACGCCCATGCCGATACCACCAACGATGAACAAGAACTTGCGTCCAAAGCGGTCGACAGTCCAAGTAGCATTGAGTGTGAAGAGAATACTGAAAGTGGCATTCAGAGCGTTGATCAGGGAGATAGTGTCGGCGCTCGTGAAGACCTTCTTGTAGATGATGGAGCTGTAGGAGTTGAGTGTGCCCTGTCCAGTAATCTGCTGACCACCGTTTACAATCATTGCAATGTACATGCGCTTTCTGACAGACTTGTCCTTCCACAGAGCAGAGAAGCCGGATGAGATAGCCTCGGCTTCGAATTCAATAGCCTCTCGGATGGTAGTAATCTCATCTTCGACATCTTGCTCGGTGGCACGGACGCGACGGAGGGAGCGGCGGGCCTTTTCGTAGTTGCGGTTCTTCTGAACGTACCAACGGGGAGACTCTGGGATGAAGAAAACCTGGGAGAGGATGATGATGGGTACCATCATCTGGAAAATGACCACCATCTTCCAGTCCCACTCGCCGAGTTTCTTAGGGTTCTTGGAGGTACCGAAGGAGATCCAGTATGCAATAAAAGAGCCAACGGAATAGAACATCTGCCAGAAGGACATGATCTTTCCACGGATCTCAGAAGGAGCAAGCTCTCCGATATAAATAGAACCAGCAGTAAGAGCGAGACCTTGTCCTATACCGATGAGGACACGACCAGCGATGAAGACACCGATTTGTCCACGAGGAGCGAATGTTTGCATAATGGTAGCGATGATGACACAGATGGACCCAGCAGCCATACCGACTCGTCGTCCAGCGAAATCAGCAAGAGGACCAGCCTATACAAAGCGAAGTTAGCAAAGAGGTGTGGGTTTATTGGTAGCATCGAAGATGAGACATACCATGAAGAAACCAGCTACAACAGCACCAACAGTATATGATGTGTTGATGGCGCCGATGATGTTGGGTCCGGGGTTGTCGTAGTAGGCGATCCAGTGCTTCGAGTTTTGCAACGCGTTGAAGACGGACGCATCGTAACCGTAGAGCACCATGCATGATGCTGCAACGAGCGAGATGTACCAGTTGTACACTCTAGTCTTGTCGACCATCTTGACGGTAGTCTCTTAGGGATTCTCCTGAAGCGAAAGTAACGATAGTGATCGACTTCGTAGTGATTGACGAAGGCTTCCGGCTCGATCTTCGCAACGATACAGCGAGAGATTCGTAGAGCTCTGGAGTGGAGAGCAAACAACGGAGACTGCGATGAGCATATATACATACTACATGGGATGCCACCCCGGGGAGGGCTATCTTGCCCCATGTCAGGTCCCATCAACCCCATGGGCTCGGAGACGCCAGTTCCAGCATCTGGGATCCGAAGCCAACGCCGCTACGAAACGCCTCCATCCAGAATATCACCACGAATCAAGACGCCCAGCGCGCCCTGAAAGCTTGCTCTAGTGCCAAATGTATCCACGCCCAGCCTTCCAGTCTCCGTAGTCCCTAAATCTGGGGAATCTGGGGCTTGGGACTTCAGCGTCGACGGAGGGATTCTGCTCATCTGATGGACGGGGAGGCGTCCTGTAGTTTTTCCACGAATGGGCGAGATCGAGCTAAGTGTTGAGGCGCCGTTGTTTTGAGGAGAAGCGAGCCGGATTGATGCCGAGATGGTGTTTAGTGCACCATCTAGCCCGTGAGCAGCTAGGTTTGCCGGCGATAATGTCAACATCGGGTAGATTTGCTCGTGGTCGCAAGCATGCCAAGTCTCGACACAAGGAAGACGCGGCGAAACAAAGCTTTTGGCTGCCGTCTGGGTTCTCTTATTTCTGTGTTTTTGATGCTTAAAACCACCGAATTAGTTCATCAGAACCACAAGTGCGGTGTCGCTGCCACAGTTTCAGCGTTGCAAAGCATCTGGCCATTCTGGCCAGCCTCATGGTGACGGTGAAGTACAGAGATCGCATGATTCGTGCTAGAGAGCATCGCTTGATAGCCAGCTGTGGAGTTCGGGTGGGTCGGCACACTGGTTGCGTGTGGGCGGTGACCATATCGCATCCTTTGGAGACCACGCGGGGAGCCAGCGCTGGAACGAGCTTAAGCCAATAATTCTTCTACATGAAGTCCACGGAGAACAGCACGCGACGCGCTTGTATCTCTCGGTGATGAACTGTTGCAGATGCATATGATATGCCGCGGTATCCCCGGTCATAGATGAATCTCATCAGCGCTGAGATGAGCTCCAGCCGTGACACCTAGCGCGTAACGACATATGATATGATCACGTGCCCATGCGCCACATGGGGCGATACCTGTGGCTATGCACATCCCACTTTTCTTAGGCGTCGAGACCCTTTCCCACCGCCTGCTACCGCCTAACGTTTTCGACGACTGCGAGTAAATTTCTCAACCTTCACCTACACACCGAAGACCGGACCAACAAGACAACCGACTTCTACAAGATGCCTTCAGGACAAGGAGGTGAGCGCCATAACTTCTGCGCAAACTGATGCGGGGTCAAAGGCTGACAAAATACCACAGCGGGTACCAACCCCATCCACAACAAACAAAAGAAGAAGAAGGCCGTCGAGCTCGACGAAGATGACATCGCATACAAGGCGAAGCTCGCTGCTGGTGCGTACCGCCCATGTTCTGCTACCAGGAGCCTAGAGCGCCACGGGCTGCGAAGCGCCACTACAAGAACAAGGACTACGACAGACGTGCTAACGACGTACAGAGAAGAAACAGCGTGAGGATCTAGCCAAGACCGTTGGCAAGGGCAAGGGACCCCTCAACACCGGTTCCCAGGGAATCAAGAAGTCGGGCAAGAAATAAGCGCTGGTCATACCAACGGCCGACCGGGCGACGAGAGAAAGGCGATGCGATACGACGACGATTTGACATGAAAGATACCACAAGCCAGGAGTCATGACTTGGCAGGGCGCTCACATACACATCACATTGATGCATGGGAATAAACTATCAATACTTTTTACGTTCTTGGTGACCCTGCTAGGTGTTCCCACTATCTCCCAAGCTACAAACTTGCTTCTCAACTAAACTTACCCTTCGGATGTGTTCTATCTCCTTCCTCCCTTCGTGTTCGCTCCTTTCAAGTCAAACACAATTTCTGCATTTCCCCAGGCAACTCTTTCCCACTCCACCTGCGTCAAAAACCCACTATCTCTGAGTTCATCCATCAACTCCTTTCCCCTCTCTTCAAACGGGTAATTACTCACATACAGCACTCTATCTACTGGTATCTGTTCTAGCAGCGCCCTTAGACTTGACATGTCTTGCGCATCTGCCGTCGTCAGGTAGATGTTGTGCTGCCAGACATCCAGAAAACTTCGCTTAGGTTTATCCGCAGCAGGAATAGTGGTGAGGAGCATTTCGATGCGTGGAATGAGAGAGGGAAGAACGCCGGGATGTGCAAGTATGAGACGTAGACCAGGGTGTCGGTCGAAGACGGAGCTGAGGTAAAGGTGTAGCAATGGGAGAGGAGAAGTAGCATGCGACGTATGAACGTGTGTTAAGAGGGGCGCGTATACGGTAGAAGGAAAAGTGTGTTGGTAGTCCGTCATCTGTACATGTCAGTCTACATCTTGTTCCCTTTCTCTCTTGTCTGGTTTCCGAGATATAAGCTGCAACATACCTCAGATCCTACCGGCCACGTCTCCCTTAATAAAATCGGCACTCGATACCTTTCTGCAGCATCCCAGAGCTCCTCCCATTCCACACCCTCCAGTTCAGTCTTCCTACTAATCCCAATACAACCCCCAACAAACTTCATCTTTCCCACACACCTCGCCAACTCTCTTGCTGCTTCTTTGCCTTCTAAAGGCAACATGCTCAATACAGAGAACTTTTCCGAGTTCATGATAACCGCTGCATGCATCGCGTCGTTGATCCTGCTGCATGTCTGCGGCGCAGCGACAAGGGGAACATGACTGATGATTTGTTTCGACTGGCCAAGGAAACGCATGTCTTTTACCCGGCCGGGGCCTATGTTGCGCAGTTTGGTGAGAGTTGGTGGGGGTATCAGATGAAGGGAAGGTTGGGAGGGGGATGTTGGTGGGGATGTAAAGGCCAGGGTCGGTGTGAGGTGGGATTCTAGGGTTGCGATCAGGGTTACTGGTGTTGTTGCAGCCATTGTGTTCTCCTTCCTCTTGGCGATCGATGGTAGGTGATGAATGAGGTGTGCAAAATGATAGGTTGTAGAGATGTTGTAAGGACTGGGACAAGGATCAAAGAACTATCAATCAGGCGGTCATTCTAAGCTTGTGAGCAAGGGAGGCACGCAGCTCAAACTAGATAGTTGCGAACCATATCGGCGGGGTAAGACTACCACCTGCCTGTGAGCGTAAAGTCAGTGACTAGCCTCGTTGCTGCCAACTGTTGGCAGACGCGATTTCGCTGCTACATGGTACATTGCTACGTCACTCTTTCTGAACATGCTCTGACAGAATCTCCAAGGTACCAAATCGTTGCAGTAGGAACACATTGGTAAGGATAAAGTGTATGATTAATAGATAGTTGTGTACTAAACTATGTTGTCGTTGAGATCAACAAATGTCTTCCGAGAAAGATGACCTTGGACACTTTGGTGCTTGATTGCCCAATGTTCCAACCAATAATTTCCGTCGCGACATTCCCTCGTAGGAAACACTCATCGTGGCTGTGTAATGATGATGATGATAGTGATGGGGCGCAGGTGGTGCGTGGCGCTAGTGACCATGCTATGGAATGTCGTGATAGTGACGTCCGAATAATCGTCCGGTCGTCACCTAAGCGACGACAACTGACGGTTCGGCGCTTGTCAGGCGACAGACTAGTCTCTTCCAACGCTTGGTCGAGAAAGTCTTGGTGATGTCGTTATGGTCTGATAACCGTGGTTCGTGAATTCGTAATAGATGTGTAGAATTGGTCCAAGCGATGGACGTGTCGGCTTTCATTCATGAAGTTCGGCGACCCTTCTTGCTGCCAATAGTAAAAGCCCGTTTGAGCTTGCTTTCGGTGTTGATGGGTGATGTTGGACTTGGTGTCGAGCTGCTTCCTGACCGACGGGTCTCCGAGCTGCCGGATGATTGGGAAGAGGACCTCTTGCGGCTCTCTTCTGCGAGGATGTCATCCAGTGAGACGTTGAGATGGGGATGACTAATTGGGACCTCTTCGAGGTTTTCGACAAAGCGTGATGCCATCGTATTAAGAGTGGTATTGAAGTATCTTAGTGTGTATATATGTGGTCGGTGTGTAGATGGATGGATATGAGGAGGATGTAGATGTTTATAGCACCGGCAAACTTGTATAGACGTGGATGGCTACTATGATCTACAGGTGATGTGTCGCGGGAGGCGGCTTGTGATAAATGGTCCAGACCTGTGTGGCAATGTCCGGATATAGTATACCAAGGTGGTAAGCTATAGCGAAGACCGGAAATAGGTAGTAACGAGGGCGGAAATGTGAATGCTAGAAGCGATAGTAGACGATATATGCCGAAATATAGAACAAAGACTGGGTAAGCAAGGGCGGCGAAAGGTTTTTAAACTCATCCAGGGCGTGTGTGGATGAGCATGTGGACAGGTCCGTGTGTCCACCGCAGAAAGAGGCCAGGGACCAACGATTCAGGGTCTGTCCCGTCGATCGCGAGGCCTCGATGCATAATAACGGCGGCGCTAAGGCCAGGATATGACGTACCGACGCGTTCTGGACAGCGTTCCGCTGGCAGCCACTCGGTTTTGGTGTGGCCATAACGGGCGCGTAACCGCGTGCGACAAGTGTTTCTTGCACAGTTCCATGGTTGCGAGTCCCCGAAAATAGGTACGCTCGCAGGACTGTCACAGCTGTAAGGGTCGTCCAAGCCGCTTGGAAGTGTCAAACCAGACTTCGGACGTCTTCGCACGAGTGCTGGAAGGATTGCGCATCCGACCCGCCGCCTCTGCCCAGTCATGCGGAACCAAACAGCGGCGACCTTGGAAGCCTTGGGGTTATTCTTGAGCAGCACGCGCAACCCTTTCGCCACAGCTTGCGAACATTGGCTTGCGGAGTCAAATAAACTCTCGACTAGTACGTCTAGGATCAGCACGATCACCAGGCAGTCGCGAGACAAGACCGAATCCTCGCACTTTATCCATATCACCTATATTGAAAACGTGTCCGCACGACGGGATCCCGCCTGCAGTGTTCTCGTCGGGTCCGCTGCGCCCATCGCGTGTATGGCCGGCCTCTGACGTAGGACGAGAGCAATTCAATACCACAGCCACCGCTTTGGCTATAGTTTCCAAAACACGGCCTTGTGTGTGCGGCTGCCGGCTGCGCTTGCCAGCGAACGATTGCGACAGCTGTACAAGCTCCAACGAAAATGCCTGAGCTAGATGTGCGGTGTACGCGAAGTGCCATACTCGGCAACTAGTCTCGACATCATCGTGCAGGGTCCTCGTTCAAAACGTCCGGCGCCCGAACCCTTGTGGGTCTTTGACAACGGTAGACCCCAAACTTCTGCACCATCCGTCATGTCAAATGGTGCACGGAGCCGACTTTCGATCTCAAGTTGCAGATATAAGCGGATACACAACGCTAGCCGCGTGTGCAATCTGCTAGTCTTGGGCACCAATAGTTCTCATCATGTATACAACGTCGTGGCCAGCATACGACTACACTGGCGTGGTGGAACATATCGCAAGCCCATGAAAATTGCGTATGCTACCGGACAGCTTGGAGTTTGGGATAGAGTAGTGAGGCTCTAAATGAGCTGGCCTAATGACGACTTTCTCTGCATCATCTTAAGTGTGTATCGGCCCACGCGGATGGTAAGTTTTTACCAGCGTCCACCGCGGCCACGTCCACCCCTTCCGCCCCTCCCACGACCTCTGTGCCCTTGGCCACGCCCACCCCCTCTGTGTCCACCTCCGCCTCTCCCCCCACCTCGATTGGACCGCTGTTGTTCCGGCCTCGGACCATTTTGCGCTAGTTGTGCCCGCTCTTCATCTGACGCATGAAATATATTCGGGATCTGCAGTAAATTGCAGAATGACTGTGTGTGCGGATTACTGTACTCTTGCGGGGACTCTTGGACATGAATGCCTAAAGCAGGCTCGTATACCGGCGCAGTCCGTGTGAAATCCTCTGGGATGGTCATCTTGTTGGTAGCAATGATATTCTCCTCAACCCAACTCATCTCCTTCTCCACAAGAGGTCGGTAAAAAGCATCACCTTTGTCTGCAGGGACTTGCGCGTGTGGATCCCCCACCTGGAGGTGATCGGCAAAGACGCGAGTAATGGCAAGCCATTCTTTGTCGTACTGTAGCTGCAAAGGTCTTTGCAATTCAGCAGGTGAATGTGGCTCTATTTCCAACAACTGGAGAAAGCTTCGCTTGGGCAAGCACTTGTCAAGTGCGAGAAAGTTGGTTGTCTTATTCGTAATGTCTTCAGGGAAGGGCAAAGTCTGTTTTGGCTCAAAGGTTGAGCGTGAGAAAGATTCTGGTAGAAGACTCCGAATATCATCAGGGATTTGGGATTCGCTCTCCGTCATGTTAGATTTGGGGAGCTCCTTTGGCTCTGCGACTGGTACAGGCGGCGCCTCATCGTCACCCAAATCCATATCGAGATCAATCTCCGCATCATTCTTGGGCGCTGGGATGGGCTCCTCGTCTACGTCCTCCAGATCGATCTCGCCGTCATTCACGACCGTCGGAACAGGGTTGTCGGTATCGGGCGCCATATTCGGAGCTTCTGCGTGGTTCCATACAGCTGGAAACTTAGCATGCATATGGGCGCTGAACCAGTGGGGTGGTCGCAAGTGCTCGAGGACGTCCTTCGCGGCAACGCTACCGAGAGTGCCGTCCTTGGCTTCTTGTTCAAAGTCTGGCTTCCAGCTAAAGAGTTGTCGGTAATTGCCTTTCCACTCCATACCACGCGGCCAGTCATGGCTTAGACCGATATCCACCTGTGTGCGTATCTGAAGCAGTTTCCGCACGTCAATTTCCCGAACGTGGTAAATGCTCCTAACGTCATCACTATTGTAGGGCAAGCGCTCGTAGTGCGGCTTCTTGTAGTTGTAGCCTTTCCAAATACCAGACAACCCAGCAATGCGCAATGGCCCTAGCCGTATTACGTTGGCGGCACCCATGTAATATATCTTCGGGGCGGCCCAGCCGCCGTAGTATAGCTCCCACATGTAGTTGCTCGCTTCGTGGTTGCCTCCAATAAATATAGTGAGGTACGGGGCTGTGCGCAAGCCTGAATAGTATTCGTGAAAGTCGTGCATCGCATAGTACTTGGAAGGCATCGATACTGCCTTGAGATCGGACGCATTTCGAACAGCCTACGAAGTCAGTCGCTGGGTGGACATTGTAATCGGTTTGCATACCTGAAAGTCGCCGCCGATGATCAAGAGATCAACATCTGGCCAACCTTTCAATTCACACGCTTTTGCCACAGATGCATAGATTTCGTGTAGCACTCCGTGACCGCAACCTTCTACTGCTATACGCAGGTTCTGCTGTTCTATTAACTCTGGGGCGGCCATACTCAATGAAGTTCGTAACCTGGTAGTTAGTAAGAACGAGCGTTATCAGCAACGCGACTACAGAGATGCTGGTGAAATCTTTGTTGCGCAGTGCATAGGCGCAGAAGTCACAATATACTCGCAGAGTATTTGCTGCAGTGGAGGCTGTTGTCGAAGAAAGTACGATCGAGGGACCTGCAGCACTAGCGTCGGAGGTCGGAGTTGCGATAAACTAGCGAGCACGTGGAGATACTGGACCTGCAGGAAGCTTTCCAAGACCTGCACAGAGATCATTTAGGTCCTCTCAACACATGGCTTCAGCAGACCAAACTCAACTGAGGGCGAAGTTCCTCCAAGAAGCTGCTTATATCCTCGCAGTTCCATCGCCAACGACGGCAGCGTTTCTGGGCAATGCACGCAACAAGCTGATTGAAGATGCTGAAGTCGACATATCGAGCAAAGAATCGGATGCTTTTCGTCGAAGTGTTTGCGGCGCATGTGGGAATGTAATGATTCCAGGATGGTCATGCAAGGTCTCGAACAAAGGAAACCAGAGAAGTATTGGCAACAAGTCATCGGAGCTTGAAAAGAGTATCTGCTATACCTGCTTGCGGTGTCAGCGAGAGACACATCAATCGCTTCCACGAGAGCGAAGACGTCGCAAATTGACCGAGAGATTACAGCCGCCAGTGGACACGGATCCAATCTCGGAGGCAACGACTACTACCAACAAAGAGGAAAATGTCGCTGCAAAGACTATAAACGCGAGCAGCAAGCAAAGACAAAAGGCACGAAGGGGCGGCTTGCAAGCTATGCTTGACAAGAAGAAGACGCAGGACTCGGGCGCGGGCGGGCTCGATTTCATGGACTTTGCGCTATAAGCTCCGTAGGGCTGACTGAAAGCGCACCTGCATGGAAGGGTCTAGCGACACCCCGCTATGCAAGCGCGGGGCTCAAAAATTTCCAGACGTTATGTCATCACAACTTGCGAAAGTTAATCCAGTTACACGCACGATTCCTCTATTCAACACCACCTACAACGTCAATAATCGATTGCAAATATGGCACAGCAACAGAGTCTCGCGAAGGACCTCTTCGAGGATATGGGCCGCAAGGTCGCAGAGGCGAGCGCCCAACAAGGAGACGACGACACAAAGGTCGTCGATGAGATTGAGAGCATGTGTATGAACTGTCATGAAGATGTAGGCGCGTTTGCAAGACAATGGTCGACTCGGCTGACACTCTCAAGGGTACTACGCGCCTTCTCCTCACTAGAATTCCATTTTTCCGCGAGATCGTTCTCATGTCTTTCTCATGCCCGCATTGCCACTTCAAGAACTCCGAGGTTCAGCCTGCTGGCGAGATCCAGCAACGGGGCATCAAGTTCACCCTCAAAGTCGAATCAGCCGACGATCTGAGCCGTCAGATCATCAAGAGCGACACGGCGATATTCCGCGTTGAAGACATCGACCTAGAGATACCACCTGGCCGAGGACAACTGACGAATGTAGAAGGCATTCTCGCGATGGTAGCGCAAGATCTGGAGCAGAAGCAGGAAGAGAGGAAGCAGGTGGTACCAGAGGTCTATGAGCAGTTGCAGGGAGTCATCAACACAATCAAGCAGATGGCAAGCGGAGAGAAACTACCATTCAAGGTCACCATCGACGACCCCGCCGGCAACTCCTCGATCGAGCCTCCAAGCGTACTTGGTGCAGGTAAATACTCTCGCAACGAATACCCACGAACTGCTGCACAGAACGAAGCGCTCGGTCTCGGCGATACCAGCGGCGAGGCCCCTGCCACGGAGATTCGAGAAGAGTACAAGGCTTCACAGATGTACCCGGAGATGCCTTCCGCCCATGCTCCCATGGTGAACAATGTAGATGAGGACGATATCGTGGAGAACCAGGTCTATTCGTTCCCTGCCAGCTGCCCGGGATGCACCAAGTCGTGTACTACGAATATGAAGATGGTCAACATTCCCCATTTCAAGCAGGTAGTCCTGATGAGCACAGTGTGCGACCACTGCGGATGTAAGTTGAACTGATCAAACAATTAGGGTTCATCAGCTAACGTAATGCAGACCGAAGCAACGAAGTCAAGACCGGAGGCGAAGTTCCCGAACTGGGCCGCCGGATCACAGTCACTGTAGACAGCAAGGAGGATCTGTCGCGAGACATTCTCAAAGCCGAGTCGTGCGCTATGTCGTGCCTCGAGCTCAACCTCAGTGTCGAACCCGGTACTCTTGGTGGTAGGTTCACCACGATCGAAGGTCTCCTGACCCAAGTACGTGATGACTTGAGATCCTCAATCTTCGACGCTGGCGATGGAGGAGACTCGATGGACTCAGAATCCAAGCAGAAGTGGAACACCTTCTTCCACAACCTCTCTGCCGCCATCAACGGCGAAGACAAGTTCACTCTTGTTCTTGAAGACCCTCTTGCCAGCAGCTATGTCCAGAGCTTTACTGCGCCGGAGCCCGATCCTAAGATCAAGGTTGAGGACTACAAGCGGACAGAGGCTGAGGAGGAGGAATTAGGATTGCTGGATATGAAGACGGAGGGTTACGAGGAGGAGCATGCGGCGAGTTTGTCGAACGGAACAACGACCAACGGCGCGTAGGGTGGACAACTTGGACCTCTCTTAGATTTTCTTGACTCCTCTTGCATTAGGTCGGCGCTTCGTAGATACCACGGCCTCGCCAGCCATGATCAGTATGATATGATCTCACAGCCCACTCTTTCCTTCTACCGATGCTTTGTGATGGCTACAGCGACCTGATATCTGTTGGTCCGACATTGGCACTGTGATGGTACCCGTTGCTCAGACATTGATTTGCGGTTTCTTTTTCTTAAAATGCCGCGACATCCTTCAGGCTCCAATCACACGTTACGCTCTCAGCTTAGATGATGTCGCGTTGCAGCCACTGTCTGCCTAATCACACCTTGTTCATCCTGCAAGCGGGTTTGCATGGATTGTGACGCTCTTGATCTCCATCTTCTCGAGCGGTCTTGACTTCTTGTCTACCTGAACGCTCTCCATGTCATCCAGCACCTCCCACCCTTCTAGCACTTTTCCAAAGACGGTGTTCTTCCCGTCTAAATGCGGTGCTGGCGCGAAGGTGATGAAGAACTGTGAGCCGTTTGAATTTGCGCCCTTGTTCGCCATGCTCACGATTCCCCTCGCATTGTGTCTCAGCGCAGGCCGAATCTCGTCCTCGAACAGCTGGTTTGGCGTATCATAGATGGAGGTGGAGGTCTTGGACTTTGGGTCGGAGGCGGGGGCACCGGTCTGAACCATGAAGGACGGGATCAGGCGGTGGAAAGGCGAGGAGTTGTAGAAGGCGGATGCGCAGAGGGCGAGGAAGTTCTCAGCCGTCTTGGGGACGGCTTCGCAGAAGACTTCGAGTTTGATGTCGCCCTTGGTGGTATGTAGCTGTGTGCAATTAGCAGCGCGTCCGAGATGGCACAGAGTTGGGACGCACCGTGACGGACATGGTCGCGGGTGCCGATCGGTCGTGTTTGTGGTTTGGGAGGAGCAATGATGGCGCACGAATCGGACCCTCGAAGTCGAGAAGCTCCTCTACCTCCACCCTCGCCGCGCCTAGAACATCGCGCGGCTATCCGACTGCGTTTACTGCATGCAATCACCCTGCATTCGCTGTCATCATCATTGCTATAGCCAGCATCGCGCTCCGCCCCCTGGGCTCTCCACGCTGGTAGACGTTGGACATCATAAGCGCCAGCCGCATAAGCTCCACTCGGGCAGCCCTACGACTCTCGGGACGTAATCCACCACAGTATCCCCGCCGCGCATTCACTCCAAACACGACCGTATCCATATCGCATCCCTAACCCACGGGCCCGCCGCGCATCCACCGGCGTCGCTGCCACCCAGAGCCCCGCTGGTTCAAGATACGAGGCGCCTACATCATTCCACCCCCACAATTCGCTGCCCGGAAGGCTACCTAGCTCCAAGCACGGCGTAGTTGGCCGGCGCACCAGCACATTAAAGCCTCAGACGCGCGACTTGGACGGGCCAAGCACATCCTGAAAGGCCATACCCACGCCCATGCAGCGCTCGCTGCCCTCCCAGGCCTGCGCTGCGAGAAACGAACATGTCGGCCTTTGTTCGCGTCTCAGGACCGCCAAACAGTAACTTTCTGGTTGGCTATCCAGGCATATCAGCAACACTCGTACGTGTCTCTACTCTCCTTCTGTTCTCATTGGACCTCTTGCGCTCCAAGTAGCTCGCCTGGAGTCGCTGTATGACCAACTTTCCTTCAGCAAGGGTACTGGCCTGATGCTGACACACACCACAGCCTCGCATAGAAGGCAAGGTCGAGATCCGGCCACTCATTGGAGTCTCAGCGCCCGTCAATGTCTCCCTCGTCACCATCGCACTACACCGGCGCGAAACAATACACCCGTCTGCCGACTCGGTCACGAAGAAGCACCTGGCAGCCCCGCGCAAGGAGATTACCGACATTGTTGGCAAGGAAATGCTCCTATATCGATGTTCACCTGGAAGAGAACACGAGAGCATACTATGCATGGACCTCCCGTTCGTCATCTTCATACCCTATGGGCGTGGTGGAGAGGAAGTAGCGAGGAGGGTACCGCCCGCGAGTCTACAACTACCTAGTCGGACAGCTGAGACATTCTACGAACTCGTCGTGACAGTGCAACAAGGGCCTCAAGAACAGAAAAAGTATCCTTTCGCAGTACCCATACAACGATACGACACCCTCTCAACATTTGGCATGTACAACCGACCAGAGAGCGCCGAACGAGTAACGGACCACCTGGTCACTCTTGGGATCAGCCTGCCGAGATGGAGCTACGGGCCAATGGATCCAGTCTCTGTATACATCAAACTGAGCCCTAATCCCGACTGGCTGAGCAAGGCAAAGAAGGTTACGATACAAAAGATTACTGTTGGGATTGACGAGGAGATCATCTTCAATCACGAGGGAGACGAACCGACTCGCAAGGTCAAAACGTTGGCAAAAACACAGCAGCAGGTCGGAGTGAAGATGCCTGAAGCTGGATACTTCACCAACCTCGGACTGGTCTTTCCCGCAAAAGATTTACGAGACAACGCAGGTATCATACCTAGAGGGCAGAAAGAATTCCCCATGTATGCTGTTACTGGATTCACGACAACTGGTACTCTATACAAAATAGAGTATTACCTCACAGTCAAGGTAGGCTGCACTTGAAACCAGATGTTGTGAATTTTGCTGACTGGGAGTAGGCACAAATGTCGTCAGCGAGGGATATTCTTCTCCGTCAGCCCATCGTCGTTTGTCCGTTTGACCACGCTGGCTGCAAAGAGGAGATGGAGGCCATTGAGCAGGCAGCCAAGGACGCCGCACACGTCACACCCGACAACCCCATGTTACCCGCCAGTACTATTATTCGATCCAATGACCCAGAAGGCTTGCGCGCACTCGGAATTGCAATCGTGGGAGGCGTACGGAAACCGCTCATTGAGTGAAGTCTCAGTCACGCAGAAGAGTTGAAAATTTCGACTGATGCGATTTTGCCATGTGGAGAACAGTTGTGTTGGACGATCTACATGTTCTATCTCGGCTGAAGGAAGAATAAGACGGACTTGAGCAACAGAATACAATTGGACTGAGGCTGCCAATGATCAGCTAGACGACAAGGACTGCGTATTCGCGATACTTTCCACACAAAACCCTGGATCGCACAACAATGCGGAACTATGCACAACACAGGCGCAAAATCGATCATGCAACCAGCGGAGCCCGGAGTCATATCGAGGCTGCCATCTGCAACACGCATTGAATCTGTTTGAACACAAAAGGCGCAAGGTCATTATACCCAGTGAGCTTGTGCATTGTATAAGGGGAGCATTTTCTTGGCTTTTACTGGCGTTACACGGAGGGGACGATGGGACGGCCGCTTGTTGTTCAGTTCATGATACCTTCGAGTCGTTCATTCCCATTATAATCATAGTTTGAAGGAAGGTAAAGGGAGAACGCCTCGGCGGGTACCGAGAAGATTTGTCTTTTTGCGAACGGCTGTATGCATGGGAGAAGGAAAGCGAAGAGAGTGAGGAGAGTCAAGAGCCACAGCCGTAGTAGGCGGATTGCAACAGCTACAACAGGGACTTTGGAAATACCACTACCATATCACTTCAACTTGATTATCTCTTCCAGAAACACTTTCGTGACAACCATCCTCATTCCTCACCATCAGGCCACTGGTCCACCAAACCCTCCGTGTCACCTTCTCCCCCTACCCTCCCAACCAAAGCCGCAAGATTCATCCTAACGCTATACCTCAAATATTTTGTCTCGTACCTTTTCGCATAACCTCCACCCAACCCTCCAATATCACTCTCCCCATTGTTTGGATGATGATGCGCAAATATCGGTGGCTGAACCGTTACACACACCCTCTCGTCTCCACTCACACCTATGCCCCCACCCTCCACAGTAGTATGAGAGTTCTGGCCCTGCCGGCCCATGTCAGGATCATTGCCAGCACACCACCGGCCTAGTTCGCTGTCGAAAATGCCGTTCCACCCACTTACGCCAAATTGATGGAGGAGGCGTCGGGCGCCGCGTTGGGAGACGGCGTAGCTGACTGTACATAGAGTCCCGCCCGTTGCTTGGTGATAGATTCGTGTGTGGGGTGGGAATGTGGTACCTAGGGCGTCGGGGTCACCTTGGAAGGGGTGAGCTTTCAGGTGTTGTGCAGAGGGGACCGTGAAATCGTTGGGTTGGGTTAAGATGGTCGTAGTAGTGCTGTGGCGATGGTTGATGGGGATGTGTGGACTGAGTGCTGGACGTGGCATGCCGGTACCGCAGTGGCCGAGCCAGAGTATGTCCCATTGTGTTGGGTCGCCGTAGGGTGAGATGTGGGGATTGCTACTGTAGGAGGGTATGGAAGATAAAGGGAGGGAGGTTAGTGTCTTTGGGAGGTTTGAAGTGTCGATGATCTTGAAGGCTGTGTCTTCTGTCTCTGTGTTTGTATGCGTTTCGAGTTTGTCCTTCACTGTAGAGATACCATGGTTCCCTGATAAAAAGCGTGATGCGAGTGCGAAACGTTGTAGATTTTGACGAATCCGAATGTCCCAGTCTACGTCGTCTTCGAAAATCAGTGCGGTGGTAAGATTATGGTCGACTATTCTTCAGGTTGTTAGCCTACTATCATCTCGTAATAAAGTTCAGAGACCATGTACCTTTGTAGAGCATTCATATGTGTTCTCCAACTTCCTCGAATGCCTGCAGAATGCTTCCTGTTCTCTTCTGGTGGAGGGTATGCTTTTTCATTGATGCTCCCACCCGTGACGCCTTCCACGAACTCGAGCTTGATGTTTGAGGCGGCTGCTGAAAGGCTCATCGCATCGCGACGGTCGGTACGGAATGGAAGGTTGAGGACCAAGATGCCTTCGAACTTAGACTGTGTTAGCGAACGGTAGTGTTGGTTGGGGCTCTCCCATACCCCTAACGTAGTGTTTAAAATGTCCCTCAGGCTCTCATCTTGTACGTAGGCAAATGAATCTGCCGGTATCAAGACTCCAGGCGTCCTCATGTTGAACCATAACCACAAGGCACCGAAGAAAACACATGTCGTCAGCAATCTAGGCGCCGAGCTCCAAGCAGTCCTTCTCTTTGCAACCTCGAATCTCGCGCTGCTCTTCGAAGACATTGGTCTCAAGGTATCGATGAAAATGCGTCGCATACATAGGGGTAGCGTAGCAGGAGCGGTACTGCGAAGATATGAAAGAAAGCATGATCAGCTAGTAAGATGCAGCGACATAGTATGGTCAGAGGTAGATCGAAATACTATATTCATGTTGCTCACTTTCCAGGTTTGAGGCCTTCCCTACGACCATTCGATGCGCGGCTTGCCTGGCTAAATCAATCTGCCGAGCAGACGCACCCCGCGTACTATATGTTCCTATGCTGGGTGAGCAACCGTATCGCGTCAGCTGATGTAGCCAGGCGTGAACATGTGTTTCTGTTGCATTCGAGAATGGCATGCGCGAGCACGTGAGCAGCAACAGAGGTTCGCATGCAGAGGAAGTGGATACCTAGTGTGGCAACTCGCCGCGGAGGTTTGTCATCGGAATCTTTTAGAAATGCGAGCCTATCGATAGGCCGGCGCGTTGCGTGACTGCTTTCTCCGCGACATCGGGGCGAGGGATACGGACTTTCCAAGTAGTACTGCGCTCTTCTTTCTTTCTTCATTGAATCATTAATTCTGCCTGCATAGTAAGGTGTTTATTGTCTTCGCGTACATTCTTCAAGTCGCATCGCGATAGCGCCTGTCGCCCCTCCCCCACTAGAACACGGCGCAACATGAGCGCCATTCTTTCGGCAGACGACCTCAACGATTTTATTTCGCCGGGTGTCGCGTGTATAAAGCCTATAGAGACGCTTCCAGTGCAACAAGCAGATAACTCGGTGTGTTTGACTCGCGCGTTGCGTCATAGGCCGGCGCATTCTGACAAAGGTCATAGGATCCATACGAAGTCACGACCGAAGAGAAAGCCGCTGCAGCAGAACCGCCACCACCCGCTTCAATATCGCTTACGGACTGTCTCGCGTGCTCAGGCTGTGTAACGAGTGCAGAGGCAGTACTAGTTTCGCTACAATCGCATACCGAGGTCCTCACAACGCTCGATACCTACCCGTCGTTACGCACACCGTGGCTGGCACATAATGGCACAAATGGGGCAACAAATGGACATACCAGTAACGGTGTGACGAACGGTGTAAATGGACACAATGCCCAAGGAAAGCTGTTCGTCGCCAGCATCTCACCGCAGACTCGCGCAAGTCTGGCGGCCGTCTTTAACGTTTCTGAGGTAGAAGCCGGAAATATGATTGCGCAGCTCCTCAGTGGACCCTCAGGCTTGAAGTCTGGTGGCCACCAGGGAAGTGACTTCACATGGGTCATCGACACCAATGCCATGCGCGAAGCCTGCCTCGTAGCGGCGGCGGACGAGGTTACAAATGCTCTATCTCCCGAAGCACTCAAGGCATCTCCAAAGCCTGGCTCTGAGGGCGCAATAGATACCACACCGAAAGCACCCATTCTTACGTCGGCCTGCCCTGGCTGGATATGCTACGCCGAGAAGACACACCCATATGTCCTTCCACATCTCTCGCGGCTCAAGTCGCCGCAAGCACTTACCGGCACATTAATCAAGTCAGTACTCAGCGAACGTTACAACGTGCCACCGTCTCAGATATGGCATCTCGCAATCATGCCATGTTTCGACAAGAAACTCGAGGCTAGCCGTGGCGAGCTCACCTCCGCTGCCTGGTTACCTAGCTATGATCAATCTCAGGACAAGATAAGAGACACCGATTGTGTGATTACAGCCCGTGAGCTACTACACCTTGCAGCTGCTCGTGGTATCAACTTTGCTTCTCTTCCACGAACACCGCTCTCCTCTGCCGATCGAACACCCTTCCCAGACTCAAAGATCGACGCTTTCCTATTCCCTCCTTCGCGCCGGAAGAATCAGAGCGTAGCTGCTGGGCCCTCCGGTGGATATCTACATCACATACTACAAACATACCAAGCTCAGAATCCGGGATCCTCGATATCAGTCGCAAGAGGGCGGAATGCCGATGTGGTGGAGTACTCGGTCGTCCGTGGCTCAGAAACAATAATCAAAGCAGCACGGTTCTACGGTTTCAGGAATATCCAGAACTTGGTACGGCGACTTAAACCAGCCAAAGCCAGTAGGTTACCAGGCGGCAAAACAGGTGTAAGCAGAAGGCCAGGTGGTGCCACAGCCGCAGGAGAGGGCGTCAAAGATTATGCTTACGTCGAGGTCATGGCTTGTCCAGGCGGATGTACAAACGGTGGTGGACAAGTCAAGGTTCAGGAAGTAGAAGAAGTACGCGTCTACGAAGGGGTTCAAGAAGCGAATGAAGATGCGCCCGCACCGAAGCCAGGACCGAAGGAGCAGAAAGAGTGGCTCGCAAGGGTAGACGAGGCCTACTTCTCGGGCAGCGATTCGGAAGACGAGGCAAATGCGCGAACGAACGGTCACAGTCCCGAGCATGATGTCGTTGATGGTATATCGAGATCACGTATGAAGGATCTCATGGCACATTGGGCCGGCATTACGGGCGTCGATCAACAGAAGCTGATATACACATCGTATATCAAAGTAGAAAGCGATGTTGGCAAAAAGAAGCAAAGCGATATGGAACGTGTTGCTGGATTGGCCGTGACCGCTGGCGGCGGATGGTAAAGCTTTGTTTACGAAAGAACGAACATATTAGACACGGGCATGAGCATTGGGTGGCGTTCTTTCTACACGTATAGAACCGGAGCTGGCCGTGCAATAATGCATTCGCATCGGTTATGGGTTTCTTTGAAAATCAAATATATCTCATCATTGATCAGGATTATCGGATTTGGCATGCTGCAAGACACTTGAAGCCGCTTTTTCTATATTGCATGTCAAGGTACGACTTGCATTCTCACTGTAACCTCAGCGCATCCTTTTGCTTTCTTTTTTTTTCAGCCGGTAATATCCCCCTTTCATGCTACCAACCTCTGCGCTCGAAGAAGTAGAAGAAGCAACACTATTGCCTATTCACAGCCAGAACCGACGTCATTCCATGTCTTTTCCGCTGTGGCTGCACATGCAAGTGTGTATACGCAACGGGCCGGCCCTGATCCCCTGACGCCCTAACCCCCTACTGTACCACGCGCACTTCCTTCTCTCCACGACCACCACTCACAGGCTAGACGAGAGAGCGCAAGATACACAATACCAATGTCACTACACACGGACTTGGTCTGCACTTGAGCTGACGATCATGCCGTGGAGTTCGGCTGCCCGACGCTGACGAGGATATCGCTGTATACTCAGATATCGTCTTTTCATCTACATGTCCAGGAAGATGCTGTCCAAGCCAAGTGAAGATAACGTAAGGAAGGCCGGTACGGTATATTGACGATCTTGAGTAGGACCGATGGTGATCTCGGAGAATCAGGGTCTGTGGTACATAGGGGATATGCTTGAAGCCCAAAGCCCAAGCGAAGACGTGGCTAGTGTTGAGTCATCGTGAACGCAAGAAGGGTTCATGGCTGTGGCGATAACGCGGGTGATGCGTTGTCTGGTCAAGGTGACGCAAGATTATTGCGTGTCCTGTGGCGAAAGCACGTACTTGTTGCCGTCAAAGCGGATAGATATACAGGGTCTGGCATGGATGCTGAGGATAGAACAGTGTATAGTTATTGCAGTCTGATGCCGCAATAGGCGCAGGCAGGCGAGCAGCGTTCATTGATGATGATGGAGTAGCTAACTAATGTTACATATGAGATACGCGTTCGGTCCAGCCAGAACCGAGGCTTTGCAGTATGAAAACAGAATCCAGGTGGTATCAAACTCCTTCCCATGAGCCATACGCGAAAGACGCGAGGCAAGAAACATACAATGACTAGCCATCCTGGGCTATATGTCTTATTACATATTACAACGGTTGGTATGTGGGGGCTGAGAAAAAATCAAGATAGAGTACGCAAGGAGAGTGCAGGTAATAATGGTACGCAAGGAGAGTTGAAACAGGGCCAGTTGATCGCTCAAAAACTATTCTACCCACCTCCCGTGTACCAAGTTTTATCCCAAGAAAACAAGGTTACCTCCCTCGATCACCCCTTCCCTTTTAACCAACAAGGATATATGTAAATAATACTGGTGATGGTATGATGTAGTCGCCAAATGCTCAAACTGGGGGTATCCGCCGACGAGATGAAGCACATAAAGGAAACTCGGTCTAGTATAGTACGGGATAGCGCCAGCAAGACGCGCCAAAAAAAAAACTGAAACAGAAGCAAGGTGTACACAGGGTGTCCCCAAACACGGACAATCCCTGTAGTAGACCCGAGTAACTTGCTGACAAGGTATCGACAATTTCCCGCGAAATGAACAGACGATGATCTCGTGTCGATCCGCCACAAGTATGATGTAAGATGCCACCCGAGATGTTTACTCAGTAAAAGGAAATATGTGGTGGTGGTACAGAGCGAATGTGGAGCTGATATTGAGAGAGAGAAAAAGGACAACGTTGACGTTGTGAAATGGTAAAACGATGGTGGTTGCGCAAAAGGACGATGAGGTGTGTTATAACGCCAGTAACACCATCCCAGAGAGTGCGCTTTGCTTTTGAGGGCTTTGCAGCGCATAGCGTCTGTGTCTATCTTTCTGTAATCGTGCACCGTTCCAGACGGGAGAGCTCAATGTCGTACGGTCGTATAGGAAGCGACAATGAGCGGGTGCGGTGACCCAAATTACAATTATATGGATGGAAGAGCATGCAGCGAAGGCAAGGCGAAAAGAAGTATGGGTCCCGCGATGTTGGATATCATCGGTGTCGGGTTTGAGCTGCCATAAGGCTGGCGGCCACACTTGAAGCCCAGTCTGAACCGTCATCGGGCGGTGTTGGCCACTTGGAAACAGATTGCTCGTTCTTGCTCTGATGTTGGGAAATGTCCATAGGCTTGCTGGGTGTCATATAGTCAGATTGTCCGAACCCCACACTGTTGCGGTTCTGTGATGGAGACGGAGTCGGGTATGACACCGCGGGGCGTGGACCTTGAGGTTTCGGCTGGTCCAGTTTCTTTGCAGCCTTTGTTGCGGATGCAAGAACTTCGCTGAGCAACTCTTCTTCTTCGTTGGGAACCTCGTACTGATTTGACGGGTTAGACTTGTTCTGGAGCGCTCGTCGTGTCCTAGAGGAGATTGGTGCATTAGGTCCGTTCTCTGAGTTTCGGGGCTCAGGACCGTGAGGTACTGAGTGGTGGCGCTTGAGCATTGGGTTCGTTGCAACACGCGAGCTCCTAGTTGAGGCAGTCTGTTGGGAATGTGCCTCCACGCTGTCTCTGACATGCTGCAGTGCTTTGTCTAGCTCAGAGAAATCGGAAGTGGAGGCTGATTGGGCGCCTTGTGATTGATCCATGATCAAGGATTGCCTGGCGCTAGTGGCCGCCCATGGAGCGCATCCGGCATTGGCCTCGATGTCGTCTGAGTTTGGCGACATGGGAGTCTGATAACGGCCTGAGAGGCGTCGAGCGCGCTTGCGTAGGTGCGAGAAGAACCCCTCTTTCTGGCCGTTAACAGGAGATGTCACATCCGACTGTCCATTCAGGGCTCTCTCTGCCTCTTGTCGGTGCACATCCGCGTAGTGATTGCCGTGTGAATTGACGGAGAGCTGTCGTCCGACCTTGCTTGCTGCAGTGGCTTGTGCAGTAACTTCGGCCGAAAGTGGTGAGATCGGCTTGATGGAAGGTAAGATTGGGATAGGCGCGCCATTGTTGGAAGCCCCATTTGTCCACGTAGCTCGCTTAGTGGCAGCCGGGCGCTGCTTGGTCGACCCACTCACATCAGAATTCGCGTGAGCTGGAGATGGCCGAGGCGACAAAGGTTGCTGTGTGGTGTGTTGTGGGACTGCTGGGGCACTCTCACGAGCGACGAGTGATCGACGAAGCCATGACGAGGTCTTGGATGTGAGTTTGGGCGAGGCATCTGGTGAGTCCTTGCCAGAGATTTCGGATCCTTTGCGACCCAACAATCGAGACGACGAAGACTTAAGGCGTAGAGGATCAACAGCGTCTTGGAAGTACTCGTGGTCAAGAGCTTGTCGAGAAGTAGGCCTGGCGCGGGGGTCCCATAGCAGACACCATGTGACGAATTGTGCCAAGCTAGCAGGCCATTGTGGTGATGGCAGAATGGTGTCTATTGAGTGTGGGGCCATCTATGTGATTGTTAGCTGGAATCGTGTCTCAAGAACCTCGAGTGACATACCTTGGGGAATGAGAAGCCCAGCTTCTGCGCTAACCTGACGCCCTCTTTCCACTCACCGCCACCGACACGTTGGCCGTGCTTGTTGACCCAACCGCCAGGGCTGCCCATGATCTCGCACACTCTCCAGACTTGGTCAACCTCGTTTCCACCAGGGAAGAGGGGCTTCAGGGTTGCGATCTCGACAGCCATAGCACCCACTGCCCAGATATCGACGGGTGCTGAGTATTGGCCAGCACGTAGGAGCACTTCAGGCGCACGGTACCACCTGGTGGAAACGTAGGTTGTGTATGGAAGCTTGGAGTGTGTCTCCCTTGCTAGGCCAAAGTCGGCAATCTTGATCGTATAGGCTGGGGGTGTTGAAGGAGGAGTCATCATTGCTGAGTAACGTCGGAAGGGGTGGGATGTGTCGTTTTGTTGCGATGTTGAGACGAGGATGTTCTCTGGCTTGATGTCACGGTGGAAGAACTCGCGGTCGTGAATGTGCTCCAGTCCGGACATTATCTGGAACAAAATGCTCTTTACACTGTGCGCGTCCATTGGCTTGTGATCCCGTGCCTTCATGAGCTGGTACAGATTACCGTCCATGAATTCCATGGCAATGTGAAGCCTTCGGCTGTAAGGGTCCAGGAAGATGTCCAGGGCTGGAACCAGATGAGGATGTGGTGGTAGTGATCGTAGGAAGATAACTTCCCGAAGCTCGAGACAGCTCGAGAACGAGTCGAAAGTCTTCTTCATGGTCTTGATCGCGACCTGTGACGCGTCAGTTGACTCGATACCTCAGTTCCTGTGTAGCGTTGTACATACCAGAGTACCACGACGAGCGATGTGAGATCCCGCAGTTCGTACGCGTGCAAGCGCGACGCTGCCGAAGCTGCCGTCACCAATCTCCTTCATCACCTCATACCTCTCCTCAAGGGAGGCCCAGCCATGTGGCTGTGCTTGTGATTCTGGATGCATATTGATGTGAATGTACCCTTTTGTGTTGAAGATCTGTTATAGCAGATACTTCCAATGGGAAGGACTGTACACGTTAGGAGATGCGTCATGACGAGCGATGGACTGGACGTACCTATTGTGGAGTCCTTGGACGATGATGCTCGATGCTCGAGGGGGCTTTAGTTCATCTCATGTGACGGTTGTAGTTGCAGAAGGTGATGTTGGTTCTTAGACGTCTTGGGGATGTGTCGTAGAGTTGAGGGGGAGGGGGAGTTCAGTGCGTATCGAGGGTTTGAGATGCGATAGGAGCGTGTTGTAAGGGTCCAGGTTGATGCAGGTGCGGGAATGTCGAGAAAATGAGAGACGACGGTTGGGAGGGCGTGTGGAGACAAGCCCAGGACCACGGTAGACGGGTAGTATTCCGCAGGTTAGGATGTTCTAGTGAGGTTGAAAGAGGAATGACTTTGTGACCATAGCGCAGGTAGCTTAATGATCGGGCTGGGAGATTTGAGAGTGCCTGTGCGCTCGGGGGAGTAGGGATGTGGACTTCCGAATCGCAAGTGAAGGAGGTGAAAGTTGGCAAGGTCCAGTGATTCGGCTTGGGGCAACAGAAGACGGAGCGATCTAGCGGGAGCGAGATGTGATGGAGGTCAGAGCCACACGAACGAAAAGACGCCGGCTTTGAGAGGCTGCTGTGATTGATGGACGGCGCGTGTAATGAGAGACAGCAAGGGGTGCGGTACTGGGTCTTTGCACGAGTCGCCAGGCCAGACCAAGAGATTAGAGTGGAAGCGGCGCTCGGGGAGCGTTGTGAGTCGTAATAATGAAGATCGGGCGGCCTAGACGGGACAAGTGCGGTCAAAGGGCCAGCAGTCGGCCTGTTGCTATGGTGAGAGCGGTCGCTGCTGCGTGCGTTGGCACAGGCGGCAGATGGGCGGAGAGAGACGCGACGGGTTAGTAGTCAACGAGCGAAACACAATTCATGCGCAGCGAGACTGGTGGGGGAAGCGTGTGGATTTGTGAAGCGGTCAGCGCAGGAAGCATGGCGACGCGATTGTTTTTGGGGGAGATGCGAGTGTGGCGCTGGGGGGTGGAGTGAATAGGCGCGAAATGAAGACGGGGGCTGACAGACCAGGCTCGGGGCGAGTGTGGTGAAGGACGGCGCGAAGGTGGTTCCAAGCTTAGCAGGAAGGAGCGTTCGGCTGACCGAAGCAGCCTAGCGCCCAACATTGGGCAGCCCATGGCACAAATTGTTGCAAGATGTTTTTTTATCGTCTCCTTTCATTGGGCCCCCTGCTCTCACTTTTGCGGCCATTTGCACTTTATGATCCCCCACGTGATGCGACGTGCATCGCCGTGCCAATTTTGTCGTGCGCGCATACATGTGCATTAGCCATGCACGCGTGTTATGTACGGCCACGACTAATTCACCGCGCGAGAGACATAGCCTCACCTATGTACAGCGCACACGCTCCCCTCACCGCAAAGCCACGCTGAGAATATACACTTCTCAAGTAGCTGCCGTCTGCCTGCCCTTCGCGCCCCCTGGGTGCCTGCATCTATATTGCACATGCTGCACCCATCCTTCGATCGCAAGGGAACGTCAGGAACGTCACAGGCACAAGCAAGCATCAAGCTGTCATTTCGCTGCGGCCCACGTTTCCACCCCTTTCATCCTCGCTCCGGCGCCGGTTCCTGATTTGTGGCAGGTTCCTGGATGGCCGTCATGCAGCCTTATTCCATTGGCCGTCAGGGGCTTAGCGGCTGCGCTCATTGGCAGAATCCGTCATGGGCACCCGTCAACGTGGTTTCGTTGTCGAGGCGTGCCTCTAGTCTTCCCGCGGCAGTCCGGAACCACGACGGCGAGATAGACCGTCAAGCCATCCCCTGCTCGAGTCAGTAGCGTAGTGAAAGGACCGTCCTTGATGCGCCGATGATGTGCTCCTCCAACACCGTGGGAATGAGGATGTGCGTCGCATGTGCGGAGACGACCTCCAAAGCAGTGAAACAGAACAGGATTTCTCCCCGCTGCTTCACATGTCATCATCGATAAACTATGATCTCAAGCGTCTTCGAGAAGCTGCAGGGCACGGCGCGTTGTGGAGAGTCCGACGCGTCGTGTAACCTCCTGTGATCGACGAAACGGCAGCGAGCGCAAGTCCCAACTCTATTCTCTGCGGGAACCTTTGCGGAGTTGCGGCAAAGTTGCTTTTGCCCATCAATAGACCGAACCTCTTTCGAGAGAGTTTGCATGATTAATTCACACTTTGGACGGACACTTTGAGCTGGCCGCTCCCTCCCGACGCGCGCAATTCCGTCGTTCCTCCTGTCAGTCCCTGCGCCATCAGCGACGGACCCTGAGTGACAATGGAACTGCTGTCCATGCGCACTCGACGATGGTTTCGTCTTGCTCAGGGCGAGCTGTTGGGGCCAGGGACCAGCAAGATTTACTCCGGGGCCCTCATTCTTCCAGAATTATTCTCCCGTGTTGAGGGCATGTCACAGGCTGTCCGAGTAGATTGCCGGCCCACCCTGAATGCTGCCTGATGGGTATAGAATCTCCGACACGAGCTTGAGCTTTCCGAATTTTCACCACGATCGGCCAGCGGCTGTCACCAGAGAGACGTACGACCAACACTGACTAGCATGCTTTATTGATGACCATCTTTTTCTCTATTCATTCCAACGATAATTGTGCGTGCCAATATCACTAGGTCAACAATGAACAGCGATGTCATCTGGCAAACTCCGTGTTATGAGTGCGCATTCAGGCAGTTTGTGAAATCTCAATACCCAGCCAATCGTTCGTCTATTCTAGTAGCCCGACCAGCTTACACCAGAGACGAGTACAGTGCAATGCAAGTCATCTTCCGTACCGGATATGGTGCGCACCACCGAGCTACCCTCTGTCTGAAAACCACATTCGTTTTTTCCTCCGCATCGGTAGGGTCTGCCAACGCTTATCGTTCTTCAGCCCTCCCGAGCACCATTACATGCAACAACAGCCGGAGCGTCAAAGAACCACGCGACACGGCACGAGCATAGGAGAAAACCCACCGCGCGGCAGCCCGTGTCTGCTTGCGTCACTCTTGACGAACGTTGTGTCTTTGTGCTTCTTCAGGAAAACCGGTTCAGGCTGCGCACCCAGTCTAAACGACCTAGTTCCTAAGGCCGTCCTGCGACACCGAGTTGGCCAAAACGACGGGCGCTGACGCAGGAGAGACTTAGGAGAGATCTGTTGCCATCGCTCGATCGCGGCAAACTTGCTTTGTTTCCGGTACCATGTCCCTCTTGACAAAAGCACATCTGATCACAGAAGAAGTAAGAAGCCAAACGTTGGAGAAGCAACGCGTTAGCGGGATGGTAGCTCAGCCTCGAGCCACCAGTTCTTCCGATTACGACAGAGCAATCTGTCGCAGCTTCAGCTTCATATTGTGGCGCCGTCGCTGCTGCACGACGACGTAGGTGGTACTAGGCCTTGAAGTCAAGTTACGCAGTTGCATTTGTCTTTATTGACACTGGACGTTGAAACAGCCACTCGTGTTTCGCACCATCTCAGCTACTATACCATGGTACATCCGCTCCTCAGCTGACAATAACAGCTCTCGGCGAATATCAAATCTAGCCAGCCATAGAGCCTGTCGTTGCCCATATATCGCCGATTTCATCATTCATGCCATCTCAGGGTCCCGAGGTCTTTGCAGAGTACGGACCATTGTATACTCCCCGCTCTCCGAACATCTTATCGGTATCTCCCATCCAACGTCAGCTGAACGGCTCCGCAAGGCTTCGGCCCGAAGCATGTGTGTTAATCATCTGCATCTGCCCGTGGACTACTGTTATAGCGATAACAAATTTTCCCTTTGGTACGTGGACCTAGTGTTTACGTGAGCTGAGCAATACACGGTCTGTGTACAGTGGAACTACCAATGTGTCCCCCACAAACGTCTGCATGTCACCTGCATTGCATCGTGTCAGTCTGTTGATCCAGCCTCGCCTGCTTCATCTGATAGTTCACACCGCAGAGGCCATAGTTCATACGGCCGTGATAGACTGCTCATTGTGCATACTGCCTCGGTCTCGTGTCATGCCATGTCATCCTTCCCCCACCCGGTCAATACAGCTGCAGCACCACGACACCAATGAACACTCTTACTCAGCATCTTACCCCAACATCTCAATTATCCAGCTCGATCAGTACATGCAGGTCTTAGTCGTGTCTTTACACGCGAGGCGCCACAGATCATAAAACCCCACATGATATGCACCACGTCATCCCACACCAATACTCTTGAGCGTCAAACTATACTCGTTTCTTGATAAGACTACACAGTACAGCTCATCATAACACGAGACAACGCAACATACACTTTCATTGATTCCGAACCAAGCTTTGCTCAAGGAGTCATCTGATCAGATGATAGACAGTCTTTGCAGACAAAATCGAGTGGTGATGAGCAAGCTGACCGTGCGTACCATCAACACGAATACACTCCACAGAACTATTGTGACTCTGCCTGAGCCTTCCCCACTCACGATGCAAACTGAAGAGAAATCTTGGTTGCTCGGGAGATATACAGATACTACTGCAAGCAAGATGGGCGAAAGCAAAATGGGTACCTGCAGCTAAGTCTCTCTTGCATCTGACAACAGCGGGCATCCTGTCCTTGACCGCCATTTCATGCAGGTGCGCGCATGCGCGTCTAGACGCGAGCCAGACCGAATGTGGTTTGCATAGACGCACGCAAGACCCAAGATGCTGGAATCTGCCGGTACAGGGAGTCTTGTCTCGGGGATCTGGCGGGTGTGGGTTCATGAACATGTTGATACACCGGATGGCTTTGCGGTGAGAAGAGCGGTCACGGTGGGCGATAGGATCTATGCACTCATCCAAGGATGATCGGTTCAACAGCATACTGGTTCAAGCATTGCGCAATCACGGTCCAGGTTCAGGGAATTAGATGTGGCAAATATATGATTGCATTACTATATACACTATTGCCATCGCGAATCTGCTCAGAAACAGCGATCAAGACCAAATCACTGTACATGGTTAGCAAACCAGTTCAACCAAAATGTGCTGTCAGATGACGACTTTAAGGTATAGGGATCAGTTCTCCAAGGTGATTGTATCTTCAATGTAATTAAGAAAGAACACAGCGAAATCATGTTGTTCATCATACGAGGGGTGGCGTGTAGAGCGGGATGTGATTCAACTTACCAAAAAGTGCAGGATAGTAGACCTGAAAACACCGGAGTGGGAACTGCATTCGAGATGTTAGCATACGTCCAAAGAGACATACGACATCCGTGGTGGATGGAAAGTACGAGTCCATCAAGAATCAGCCTGGTACACACACGTTAGTTAACGTTCTTGGAGAGTCTTCGATTCTGACATACCTCATTAAATCAGATTTTGTGGTAGTGATCAGTACGACGGACGCTCGTTACAACGCCGCCGCTCACACAGTGTGAATATCAAAAGAATCATCATTGAAATGATGGACCGTCTGTTGGAAGAAAGAGCTTGTCATACCTGCGAGGCCTGTTAGTTGAACAGTTCGCAAGAACGCATCGCAAAATGTGGTATGTGACGGCAATCAGAGATGCTGTTATCAACAAGTAAAGCCTCTTCCGAACACCCACAGGTTTGTACGCCTGCTTTTGATGGATGCCGGTCAAGGCATACGTTATGTCCGCCCGACGCATCGAGGTATCATCAGGAAGCCAGGAGTGTTCGCAGAGGGGAAGGTTCGTGTTTATGGGAGTATGTACCTGCAAGTACCAGAGTTAGCAAGTTGATCGCGAATAACGTCTTGCAAAATTGCGGTAGGGTTTAGCAGTGTCAGACAAGGCTGAAACTAAAAGCAAGGGTGTCGACATTGTATATTCAGGTCGAGGAATGCCTTTCCGTGTCGTGTTTTCATCACTCTGCGGGTGGTGGGATGAAGAGGTTGAGATGTCTTACCTTTAGAGAAATTGCGAAGAGATGAGGAAACTGCTGGCGCTGGTGACTGCGATACTAGAACGTTGTCAGCAACTGTCCAAGTACACAGATTGGTAATGCTGATGCGCTTGATTGCATCATTGTAATTCTAGAGTTGTGTAGTCCTTCACGGTGCTGTAGGATTTGGATTGTTCGTATGTGATAATCTTCTGCAGGAGTCGCGGGGACGGAAAAAGCTTACCTGAAATGTAAAGCATGCGCGCTCTTTGAGTTAGTATTGATCAAGATGAGTACTTAGAGGCGCGCATAATGAAGCGCGTTGCGATGTAGGTGATGAGAATGATGTTGGATTGGTTTTGAGCTCCAGAAATTTTAGCTTGCTCCGGCGCCGAGCCTCCGTAGCGCCGCTTATGTAACCAACCCAGCCAACCAGTTCCCCACCTGCCCTCAGCGTGATGCATGTTTGGGACAATTGTTGTCGACGCACCTAGCATGTGTTCTAGTTTGCCTAGGCCTTCGATGAATATGCATCTACAGCAATGTCGGTAACCTCTCCCAGGACTGTTTCATGGCAGTTGAGAGCCTCTGCTGCGGTACCCAGGTATTCAACCCCTACCTAGGTACCTCCTAGATCATCTATTTTCCTCCAACATTGCTTTAGCGCACCTCCACAGAAACATCTACAGCATGGAGACAATGATTCATGATTTTAAAATCAGCCTGCTATCCAGAAGATCGGCTTCTTCTACTTAGTCATCTTTCCATTCTACTGATCTAGTGAGACTTATACGATTAAACGATCGCACCGGCCAGCAATCCGTACTGTATGGTGTATCATCTATGATCGTCACAGGAGTTCGTTGACTGCATTCATTACCCCGCACCGGCTACCATTAGCAGCTTACAAGAAGCCACGCAGTGCCTTATATGCGTTATCTTCGATTCTCAACAGGCCGCAAGGTAGCGCCATGAATTCATCGCCGAGCATTTGGCGCGGCGATGACGAAGATTCGTTGCCTTATACCCGAACTTACAGAAGGAGCAAATCAAGATGCCGGTATCAATAGATATCTATGCGGGCTGACACTTCAGCCTTCTGAAGAGACCGGATGCGGCAAAATCACCCAACAGTTGCAGCAGCAAGTGGCACTCGCTTCCAGTAGATGTTCGGGCAACCCTCCTTCTGATTCTGCCAGGTCTCAGCCTTGTGGCTTGTTCTGGTAACATACAAACTCAAGTCTTGCATCGAATTGAGGGAGAGAACTTAGCGATTGTTTCCGACATCATCAGAGTCGTCAGTAACCAGTAAACGATACCACTTTGGACTTTCGTCTATTGAAGTTATGGTGACTAACTTCTGGCCAACCTTGCATCCTCCCATCAACACGAGTAGTACTGAGAACCTCGTCAGAAGACCGGAATTGGCTCGGCGTCACGGATTTTGGAGTTTTCTTGCCCGCAGTCCTCTCGTTCCATTCGCCCTGTTTGCTGGAATTAGCTGTATATTTACAGTTGTGTTTTTCGCTTCGTGGTTGAGCAAACAAATCCTTCACTGCCCGGCATGGGCGAGTAATTGCACAGTGCCTCGCCGCACCCAAGAAATTACGGACAACATCGGGACCGTGCAAGGAATCAGCACAGTAGTTTACTCCATCGGATTGGCAGCAATAGCCTATGCTGCCCACGCTTTCTCTGAATCAGCTTTGTGGCCGCTACTGTATCGACAAAACTTCACACTGAATCAGATGGACATATACCTTAAGGCGAGCGGTGGCTCTATTGCTTCTTCCCCGGCTGCTGTGTTTACGATACGCAATCTCAACTCTGGTCTGATTCTGTTTGCGACCATTAACATCACATTGCTTCCACTTGCCGGCGCTCCATTAATGGGACGTGTATTTAATCAGCAAAATCAATCCAGCGTCTTTGAGAGTCTGTACGAACGCCCGGGTGGCATGATCGGTCCAATATTCATACAAAGAAACCCTCCTGGTGTCATGCTGGAACGAGCTGCAGCTTGGTACACTTCATGGGCGTGGAATATGTCTACCGAGCCAATGGGAGACCAACGCAGTTGGATTCTCGACCGGAAGACCTTGTCAGAACGCGGCAACTTCTCTGCAAACGCTGTAAGATTGCAACAGGAGATCAGCTGCACAGGGTGGAAAGCGAGACCCAAGAAGTGGAAAAACGGGATTCTAACATTCAATACAAGGATGAACAATCCCGAAAATGGGCGATCTGAGGGCGATCAACATTCTACTGCTGTCAAAGTTCGAAACAAGGACAAACTTGCTGTCCGGGCAGACGACTACGTATTTGAATCACCAACAAAAACCCGGGCGACGGTTGTTTTCGCTGCGATCAACGGTTCAATCGTCGGAGGTGACACCACAACTACGGAGGGGTTCGGCAAACAAATCACCAGTATAGCGTGTCAAATAACTATCGAGTTTGTGGATGACATCCTCACTGTCGGAGTGGCTCCCGATACAGCGAGAGCACAATTAGGAAGCGTTGCACAGCTGAGAAACTCTAAAAGCTTGAACGAATTGGCGCTCTGGTTTGCTATATCACCCGTTGGGAACGGGGCTAGCGTCTTCGGGACAATGCCGATGTATGATGCTCCTTGGGGCGAGATTCCACTCCGATTTACTTCTACCAACGAAGGCTTGAACAAAGGTTGGGAAATGGAGAAAATTCGACATTTCATCAGTGTTTCAATCGGGGCCACTGCACTTCGCGCAAGTACTTCGCCCGATGCCAATCCCGTCACAATGCGTTCGAGCGCCCACACACTCAAACTGGATCCAAATCGGCCACTACTCTTGCTTGTGCTGCCTGTTTTGATACTCATCAACGCAGCATTCCTAGTCTTATGGAACGCACGACTATATCGGCAAACCAAGATTCCGTGTTATCAGCAAGCGAAGCTGAGCGAGATCTTGACGTTCTCTCAGTCCAATGACCTCAGAGAAGCGGCGGAATCAGCGTGGCGTAGTGAAGGGGAAAAGAACGAACTCGATTCTCTGGGGGTACGCTACTGGTATGATGAGGGTGCTTGGGCTTTGCATACCGTGAACGCTAGGTCTAAAGGTCAGAAGAAGTCGCGCAGACAATCACTCGCTGGTTACGAGCTTGTTGATCGGAATGTATGAGACTTCGCGAACTACATTTCTTCGCTCGCAGTGATAAAACACAAGCATGTCCCTCAAGCAGAATTAGCGCTCGTATACCAACTATGTCGTCAGCGTAAACATTCTGCCATTTTTTATCTTTCATATAATTATCCACCTTTCACATAATTCTCTCGGACCTGCGCACAAGTTCAGATATCATATCAATGTAATCTCAAGCCGTCTCTTCTATTTTCTCAACATTCTAGAACAATGAAACCAACAACGACCGGACATTCAAAGCCGTGCCCTGATCCATATGCTGCAACCTCCTTCCTAATCTATACAACGCAACGCAAAGAGATTCGGAGCAAGTACCCGACATATCACTTTCTCATCTAAATCCTTCACACAACATCGCACCACAATCTTGTACTGACGCTTCGTCGCATCCCTCGCGTATGTGTGCCGCACCACGACTGTGCCGTACACAACGGCACGGATATATTGCAAGTAAAGAAGGGCGGAGGCACAGTTAGGAACAGAAGGAAGCGGCACAGAAGAATCCATTGATGAGGCACGGTTGACCTAGCGTAAGTCGTCTAAATCTGCTTACCTAGGTAGGCAAATTATCGCGATCTCGTCGCATAGTGCGTTTGAAACCTGCAAAGCGAGATTACGCGTTATCGACGTAGTGTGACGATTAAGTTCCGTGATTCGTGGTGTGATGGTGTGATGAAGGTGCAGATGATGAAGGGTCATGTGATGCAGTATGTCAAGGGCTTGCCTGCTATAGCTTTCCGTTGGTTCCAGTAATTACGTCGACGATGACTAAGGTGTAGTGCAATGAGCGTATCGGACTCGTGTTTCATCACGGGAAGGTCGAGACAATGGCGTGTCGTAGGTAGAAAGAGGGCATGATATTTTTTGTCACAGTGGATCATCCATCAAAAACCCTCTCATAGATCCTATTGATCTGCTTTCGCAAATGTCCCAGAAGAAGAACCCAAATTAAAAACAAGAAAGGCAAAAAAGTTGATCGTTTCGCTCTCTTCGCTATGCACACGCAAGCTCTCATCCGACGATGAGCATGAAGACAATCCAAGGCCCTGGTTCCATCTCAAACTGAATGCCCTTTCGAGCCATCAACTGCCGTGAAAATATACATTAGGAAAGTAGTTGGAATGAAGTGAAGTGAAGTGAAGTGAAGTAAAGTAAGGTGAAGTAAGGGGGGTATGGGGCATGCAAACATAAAAGGCAAGAAAGAAGAGAGGTATCGGACAAGGACCTCTCTATGTCCAACCGACCATAGCGCGTCCAACGGTAGATGTGTGCCAGAGATGCGAGCGTTGCAAATCGTTGAAAGCATAAAGACATGTCGAAGAAAAGACGCTACTGCGAGCCTCGGAGGGCAAACTAGGTAGAGCAGGTGTATCGGGGGTATGTCGCGCGTGGTATGTAAAGATCCCTTCCAGTACGCCGGTATAAGCAGGTAGCAAAGAAGCAAATACATGAAGGTTAAAGTTGTGGGTGAGTGGATAAGCGGAGAAGCTTAGAAGCAGTTTAAGGTGCCCTTCTTCTTGCCTTTTTTCTGCGCATTGTTGAGAGCTGCCATGCGAGCTTCGAGGTGGGCACGCTCGGCCTCAACGCGAAGACGGGCGTTGCGTTCCTCTTCAACGGCTTGGAGAGAGTGGCGTGCTGCGCTGCGCTCTTTGCGCATCACGTTCAACTCCTCTTCCAGAGTAGCACACTTCTTTCTAAACTGATCCAGATCAGTCTTGGTCTTGGTGCTTGAAGCTTCCAGGTCAGTCAGAGCATCCTCAAGGGTAGCTGTGAGCTGCTTTTCAGCAAACAAGTGCTTCTCGATGGTACGGATGCGAGCTTCTTGGTCTTCGACCAACTGAGCATGCGCAATATCTTTGCTCTGATGGCGCGAGGTAGGGGGAGAAGGCGCACTGGCCTGTGGTGGTGGGCTGCCAGGAGGGAGAGGAGGGAGAGGGATGGCAGGTGGTGGTGACGGCAAAGAGGTGTGCGCGGTGCTCTTGCGCGCAGTAGAGTTGTTCGAGTTGGATCGTTGAAGGTCTTCACGAGGATCCATAGAGACACGAGTAGAGTTTCGCTTCGCATCAACCAGTTGCGACTAAATCATGTTAGCTCATTGTTCGAAGTTGAGACTAAGACAAACTTACCTCCAAGAGTGCGATCTTGATGCGCGACTCCTGTACCTCCTTCTCAAGTTCTTCACCATGGTTCATGGCATCTTGAAGCTCGCGAGTGCGCTCAGTTTGTAGAGCCGACAATCGGTTGTTGGCAGCCTCATGCTGGTCCCAGTTCTGGTTGAGCTGATCTTCAAGTTCTTGTACGAGACGGGCGCTCTTATGCTCCTTCTCGCTGACTTTCTCGAGCTCCTTCAATGTCTCGGCGTTGATGATTTCGAACTCCTTCATCTTGCCCTTGAGTGTATTGACTTCGTTGGCGGCTTCCGCGAGGTCTTTCCTAGCCACCTCGCGGTCGGCTAAAGCCTCCTCCAGCTTGGTAGTGATGGACTTGCGTTCCTGAACCAGTGCTTCGATATGAGACTGCACATTGCTGATGTCTGTCTCCTCGCCTAGTGCAGTCGAAACACTCTCAAGCAGCGTCGCCATCTCGGACTTGGCCTGGGAAAGATCCGCTTCGAGCGAGGCAGATGTTTCTCGATGAGTTGTCAGCTCTAGCGTAAGCTTTTCAAGCTCGACTGCGTGTGTCTTCTGGATAGAATCCATGCCTTGTTGATGGTAGTCGATCGCTGCCTTGTGCTCTTCGATCTGCCTCTCCAAGTTGGAAACAAGCGACCGGTGAGTGTCCAGTTCCTTCTCGGTGAGCGCCCGGGCTTCAGAGTCTTCCTCAATCTGTTGGATAATGCTTGCATGAGATTCTTCAAGCTCAGCAAGGCGAGCAGCGTTGTTGACAGCCGTTGATTTGTGCTGGTCAACTTCGGCTTGTAAGGTAGCAATAAGCTCAGAGTGCTTGGCTCTCTCCTGTTCTAGAGCTGCCTCAGACTCAGCGCCTCGGGTTTGCTCGATCTCAGACACGCGTAGAGCGTGGTCAACTTCGAGTCGCTGTTTCGCAGACTCTAGTTCGCGAACTGTCTCAAGATGTCGTTTCTCGGAGGCCTTGGTAGCTTCAATGGCCTCGAGGTGCTTGGACTGCCAGTGAGCAGCTTCATCACTGAGCGTAGTAAGCTGAGTGTGGCGACTAGCCTCATCTTGAGGTTCTTCGTGACCGTTCACCATCGGCGTCGCCTCAGGCGTCCGGCGCGGCGATGCTAGATCATCAGATGAATCAATGCCCTTCGCAGAAGCCTTGAGGGTCTCAATTTGTTCTCTGAGTTCTTGTTCGCGCTGTGTGTGGGAATCCTTCAACTCCTTGATGTGCTCTTCATTCTGCTTCATCTGATCCTGCATCGAAGCAACGATGGAGATGTCGAGAGGAGACCCAGCCTTCAAGCTAGAACGTTCTTTTGTCAGGCCACTGATCAAAGTCATCTTGCCTTCCATCTCCTTGCGTACAGATTGCAACTCCATCTCCAGATCCTGCACTCGCTCAGACCGGACATGAAGCTCTGACATGATAGTGTTGAGGTTGACCTCAAAGTTTTGGATGGCATCAGGGTCTTCTTCTAGAGTATCCAAGGCCAAGTTACGAAGCGAGGCGAATGCGCGGTTAGAACGGTCGTTCGCGAGAACTGCTTGACTGGACTTTCTGCGAATCATGTGGACAGACGGGGAAGATGGTCGATTCGCTTGCATCTGGGCTTTCTGAACCTCCGACTTGAGCTCTTCGACGTAGTCGAGTGTGTCTTGATGCTCTTCTTGAAGGTCGGAGTAAGTTTGTTGAAGCTTCTCTATACGTTCCTCCTTCTCGTTGTGCAGTAGCTTCAGTGCCTTCAGCTCTTGGATCAGCACGGTGTCAGGAATGTGCTGCTCTTGGTTCGTGGAGGCGACTGATGTCCGTCGAGCCTTGGTCTCATCGTGACCGACCTCCGTCTCCTCTTCTGAAATATTGTTGTTGCCAGACTCCGCTAAGGACAATTCCGCAGACAATGTACGCGAGGACGATAGTGGGCCATCCTCTGGTGTGACACCATTCGTTCCCGCCTCTGCTAAGAAGGAGCTTGGTCGAGAAGAAGCCACTGACGTTACTCCATTACGGCGCGCCTCATCTACAGAGTCTTGAAGGGCGGCCAAAGTCCGCAAAGCCTCTTGGTATTTGCTGGCAAGTTTCTCGTAGTCTTGAAGCGTTCCTTCATGTTCAACGCGTAGGTCAAGCAGCTCTTGAGTGACGGTGTCGAGTTTGTCATTGACAAAGCGAGTTTGCGCCGGGCTGGAAGGCTCGTCGCCTGCGGCTGAAGCAGCCTTGACAGCAAAACGATCCTTTTGCTCGTCTGCACCGTCATGTTGGGCAGATGTGCTGGCTGTGAGTGGACGCTCACTCTCTTCAGGAATGGCATCCACGGGCGTGCCGAACTGGTGCATGCTCTCGCTAGTAACCCGCTTCTCCAGCTTAGGGCGCTTTTCGATGAAGGGATCACTAGGTGTCTTGGAGTGGCCGTTGACGTAGGAGTCATCAGCGGGATCCTTATGGTCGAGCTCGTGGAGGAGATTGTCCAATTTGGCCACGCTGCGTTGCCTTTCGACGACATGCTTCAGTCGCTCGATCTCACGGGTCATGATCTCAGTCTCCTGCTCATTCTCGGCCAGACGCTCTTCTAATGTTGATATGTATTCCTCGCTGCTTGTTTCGTTCTCGCGAGCCCTTTGCAGCTTCTCGCGCAGCTCAGTAATGATAGTGTCGTTCTTTTCGATGCCATTCGCTGAGTTGTCGATTTGGCGCTCGAGCGATTGGACATACTCTTCGTTGTTCGCGTCCCGTTCCATTGCCTTCTGAATGCGCGATTGCAGGTGATGGTTTTGGCTTTCGAGAATTGCAATGCGTGTCTCCTTCTCCAGAAGGTCGCTCTCGTTATTCGACAGAGATGATCGTGTGTTGGAAAGGGAGGCTTC